TGGTTAAGACTCCATGCTCCCAATGCAGGGGCCCAGGTTCAATTCCTGGTTGGGGAACTAGATCCTGCATGCCGCAACTAAAAGAGCCGCATACCGCAACTAAAGATCCTGCATGCTGCAATGAAGATCCTGCATGCCACAACTAAGACCTGGTGCAGCCAAATAAATAAATGAATATTAAAAATAAATTAACTAATTAAAAACAGCTCTTAGTTTTGTTAATCTTTTCTATTATTTCTCTAGTTTCTATTTCATGTATTTTTGCTGTGATCTTTGTTTTTTCCTTTTTTCTGCTAACTTTGAGCTTGGTTTATTCTTTTTCTAGTTCCTTGAGGTATAAAGCTAGATTATTTATTTATTTAAGATCTTTCTTTTTCCTTACTGTAGGTATTTATCACTATAAACTTCCCTCTTAGAACTGCTTTTGCAGCATTCTATAGTTTTGGTAATGTTGTGTTTCTATTTTCATTTGTTTCAAGATATTGTTTGATTTCCTTTTTGATTTCTTTGACTCATTGGTTGTCCGGGAGTATGTTGTTCAATTTCCTCATATATGTGGATTTTCCAGTTTCCTCGTTGTTGATTTCCATTTTTATACCAGTGTCAGTAAAGATACTTGGTATGATTTGAGTCTTTTGAATTTGGTTAAGACCTGTTCTGTGCCCTGTCATATGATCTATCCTTAAGAATATTCTGTGTGTACTTGAGAAGAATGTATATTCTGTTGTTGGATTGAACGTCTTATATATGTCTATTGGGTTCATTTGGTCTAACATATGGTTCAAGTCCAGTGTTTCCTTAGTGATTTTCTGACTGGATGACCTACCCATTGCTGACAGTGTGGTATCGAAGTCCTCTATTATTGTTGTATTGTTGTCTGTTTCTCCCTTTAGCTCTGGTATTATTTGCTTAATATATTTAGTTGCTCTGGTGTTGAGTGCATATGTATTTCCGATTGTTAATGTCTTCTTCAGAGGAGTTGACCCCTTTATCTTTATATAATGACCTTTGTTTCACGTGACTGTTTTTTACTTAAGGTCATTTTGTCTGGTATAAATACAGCTACCCCTGCTTTCTTTTGGTTTCCACTTTGTGGAATGTCTTTTTCCATCCTTTCACTTTGAGTTATGTGTGTTCTTAAAGCTGAAGTGAGTCTTTTATAGGTAGCATATAGTTGGCTCTTGTTTTTTATTCATCCAGTCATTCTTTGCCTTTTGATTAGAAGTTCAATCTACTTATATTTAGAGTGATTATGGATATGTAAGGACTTACTAGTGCCATCTTTTTAATTGCTTTCTGGCTGTTTTGTAGTTTTCTTGTTCCTCTTTGACTCTTGCTGGATTCCTTTGTGAATTGGTGATTTCCCACCATTGTATGCTTCTGACTCCCTCGTCTTTATCTTTTGGGAGTCTACTCAAATATTTTGCTTTGTGATTTTCATGAGATACGTAAAACATTTTATAGCTATAACAGTCTATTTTACTCTGATAACAGCTTAATTTTAATCTCATACGAAAACATCTACCCTTTTACTCTTCCACCTTTTATGGTTTTTTATGTCACAGTTTGCCTCTTTCCATATTGTATGTTCATCAGCGAATTATAGTAGCTGTAGTTACTTTTGATACTCTAGTTCTAATCTTTATACTAGTGTTAAGTGTTAACACACCATCATATTGCAGTGTTCTGAATTTGATTTTATATTTATCTTGATCGGTGTATTTTTTATGTTTCACATTACTAGTTAGCCTCCTCTCATTTCAGCTTGAAGAACTTCCTTCAGCATTCCTTGTTAGATCTAGTGATGATGAATTACCTCAGCCTTTGTCTGGGGAAGTCTTTATTTCTCCTTCATTCCGGAAGGGTAACTTTGCCACAGGGAGTTTTTTGGTTTTGTTTCTGTTTTTTTTAAATTTTTGGCCACGCCGCACGGCATGCAGGATCTTAGTTCCGCAATCAAGGATCGAACCCGTGCCCCTGCAGTGGAAGCACAGAGTCTTAACCACTGGACCGCCAGGGAAGTCCCCACATGGAGTCCCCAAATGGAGTATTTTTTATTTTTTTATTTTTTGTTTCATCACTTTGAGTATATCATCCCACGTTCTCCTGGCCTGTAAGATTTCTGCTGAGAAATTCACTGATGTCCCATTGGAGGTTCCTTTGTAGGTTACAGTCTTCTTTTTTTCTTGCTGTCTTTAGGTTTCTCTTTTTGTGTTTGATTTTTGATAGGTTTATTACAGTGTGTTTTGGAGAAGGACAATTTGGGTTGAAGTAATGGGGTAATCTGTTTATTAACTTCATGAACTTGATGTGCATATCTCTTCCCAGGTTTGGAAAGTTCTCAGCCATTATTTCTTTAAATAAGTTTTCTGCCCCCTTTCTCGCTCACTTTTCCTTCTGGAACTCTAATGACTTGGCTATTGGTTTTTTCAGGATGTCTCATAGATCATGTAGGCTTTCTTCACTCTTTTTTATTCTTTTTTCTCTTCAGACTGGGTTCTTTCTAAGCTCCTGTCTATATTGTTGATTCTGTCTTCTCTTTGATCTGCCTGCTTTTGATGCGCTCTATTGCATTTTTCATTTCATTCATTAAATTCTTAAGCTCCACAATTCTATTTGTTTATTTTTCAGTGATTTCTATTTCTTTGTTAAATTTCTCATTTTCATCACATACTGTTTTTTTTATTTCATTGAATTGTTTTTCTGTGTTTTATAGCTCATTGAGTTTCCTTAAAACAGCTATTTTGAATTCTTCATTGTGTAAATATTAGATTTTCACGTCTTTACGTTTGGTCACTGGAAGATTATTGTGATCTTTTGGTGATGTCATGTCTTCTTGATTTTTCATGTTCCTGGTAGAGTCCAAAACGGACCAGCGGGAGCTACATTCCTTTAATGCCCTGGGAATCTTATATGCTGCTATCTGACTTGCTCCCTCTCCCCAGACCTGGACTCCCTCTGTAATGCTCTGGATGCATTATGAGAAGCGAGAGAAATAGGTCTCTTCATCAGAGTCCTGCACAGATTTAGAAACCAGGCAGTCACTCAGTGGCTCTCCCTTTCCCCAGATGGAGAAATAACGGGCCATCTATTTAGCCATATGCTATACCTGAACATTAGGTGATGCCAGCAGAGACAAGCTGTTACTCTTACCCACTTGAGTGGACCCAAACTCCTTTTTTTCTTTTTCCTCCAATGGAGTGTTGGTACTTCTCCTCGGGAAATCTGGACTTCCACAAAGGCTATCTCATCCAAAGGCGACTGCCTATGTCACTGTTCCGCCTGCACTCCCAGACTGTAGCTGAGGGGCTGGAACCGATTCAGTCTCCTGTAGGTTTCACAGCTGGTACTGAAGTCTCTCTGCTTATTACCTAGTTCGCAAGTGGGCTAGCTTTGCCGTGGGTCTCTTGGTGTATGGTGCTGCATTCCACAACTCACACGAAGGCACTTCCGTTGGTGGATGGATGCCTAATTTTTGTTGTTAAAGGGGAAAACAAAAACAAGGGATGTGTTGTACTGCCATGATGTTGATATTAGCCTGGTTTAGGTTTTCAATATTTGTACTTATTAATTTTTTCCTGAATGTACACAAGAGGTTTCTGGATCAGAGATTTCTTATTTACTAGACAGCAAATAACCAGTGAGTGGTTCCCTCAGTCTCACGTCTTAGCTCTTTGGCAGTGAAAGCCAGGTCAAATGTCCTACGTGCACAAAGTCTGTATTGTAGGCAAAGAATGAAGAAAAACAAGTTTTCTGTGTTTTTATACAAGGGAAGGAGACAACTGTCTCTCCTTCCCTTTCTGAGAGAGTTTCATTGGAAATATCAAAGTCTTTGGAATATAAATAACTCTCTCTGTGAAAAGACAGGCCCGTTTGTCTTCAGTTCTATGACTGGGAAGGGTTTCCCTGCTCTAACTTCTCATCCCCTTTGAAATGTAGACACAGCCCTCCAGGGTTAAGTAAAACCTCCCCGGGGCTTTGACAATGTATACTATTGTAACTTAATGCCTAAGGTTGCTTTTAGTCCAGAATCCCAAATTTCAGTAAAATTTGGCCTGAAAACCCTAACTGTCCAGTAACATGAAAATATTTTCCCTGCAGTCCCACGGAGGGATGTTTCTTTATGATAAAATCTGTCAGGAAGATCTAGCATTCCTAGATTTGTCTATGCCAAATAACAGAACTACAAGTACACTAAAGAAAAAAAAAGAATTAAAGGGAGAAACAGACAATTTCACAGTCACACTGGAGATTTTAATACACCTCAGCAATTGATGTAACAACTGGAGTCTTCAAAGATCATCAAAGGCAGAAAAATCTGGACAACACTGTCAACTACATGTTTAAGAATACTGGTAAACTTCCCTTGAGAAAGATCACCAGCAGTGAATAAGAATACCTGTTACCTTAGCTCCTGGCAGCCTTGGGAGTTAACATTTTTTAATTTTTTTATTATTTGTTAATCTGATAGGCAAACCATAGTATTTGTACTTACTTGCATTTCATTAATTGCTAAGTGATTGAACATTTTTGCAAATGCCTGTCATTTGATTTTTTTTCTTCTTATAAGGTACATTGATAATTTTAAGTGTATTCTATATTGTTATATAGTTTTCTTTTATTTATAAATTTTATATTGCACATATTTCCCCTTGTCATTGACTTTTAAACCATCTCATGTTTTTTAACTTAAAGAAGTTAAAATGTTTGTGTAGTCAGATACATCTCTTTCCTCTTTTTTTGTTTTTTAGTTTTTTCCTTTGTTTTCTGCAACTTATTTTTTGTGATTCTACGATACTTATGACTTAGAGTCCATATAGGGCATTCTCTCATTTTAAAACTTACCTTGTAAAACCAAGGTAGACTCCCTCCAACCAATGAAACATTGAAATGAGCCAGGTAGTATAATTTCTGTCTGTTTTTACAACTTAGGCTGTTAGTTACTACAACACTGTCCTATTCTTGTGCAATTTAATTTTATGTCTTCTTTTGGTTCTCAGATTATTAATAATTTCACAAGGCGGATCCAGACCAAAATCAAAGACCTTCTCCAGCAAATGGAAGAAGGGCTGAAGACAGCGGACCCACATGATTGCTCTGCGTATACTGGTTGGACAGGTAAGCCTCTGGGATGTAAGTAATTGATATGTTTTATTTTTGGATTATGATATGTAAGCCTTGGATCTGAATTCTTCTTCTTTTAAAAGTCAAAGGTTTATACCTTTTAAAAGAAGTCTTGAGCTATCTTCATTGATGAGATGCTTCGTAATTTTATTTCTAAAGAAATTCTTTCTGCCTGAAGCTTGAATGGCATATGAGTTTGTATGTCATATTTTTGTAACATTAATTATCTGACCTAATTTATGGCTGTTTTTGAAAATGTGTTAAGATCAGCTTTTTTTTGTTTGCTTTTGGGTCTTTGATCTTTGCAACAAGATATATTTGTGTGATTTCTCTGGCCCGATACGTATGAACGATTTAACCTACTTTTTGTACTCATTTACATCATTTGTACACATAAAGATTTTGATTCTGATAATAATAATTAAACAAGCAACCAGTAATACATTTCACATCAAAAAACTTAATTTCAAAATGAATATGCCTTAACTAATCTACATTCTTTTATTATTTTACCATGTAGCCATAATATTGTCATAGCTATTTAGGGAATATAAAAGAAATGAGACAGACCTTGTTCCGAGGGATTAGACTGCAGTATGAGCATTGCTATCGTTATAGCCTTTTCTTGCTAAGTTTTTATAGTTTAGTCAGTGAACAGTATGGGCACAAGTGTACATGTTGGAGTCACCAAGAGCTGGCACTTGTCTTTGCAGTGCACGCTCAAACTTGATGGCCCTGATCTTTTTTATTATTTGTGTTTATATTTGTACTCATTTATGCAATGCTTTATTTATTATTTGCCTGTTATCAATACAGTAGTATATAGTGACATTAGAATTGACTTTTTCAAACTTTTATACCCAAACAGACAAGGAGCTAGTTCTCTTACAGAGCCAAAGAAACTTATCCTAAATGTAATTTTTAAAAAATATTTATTTATTTGGCTGTGTTGGGTCTTAGTTGCAGCACGCGGGATCTTTGTTGCAGCATGCGGGATCTTTAGTTGCAGCATGTGAACTCTTAGTTGTGGCATGTGGGATCTAGTTCCCTGACCAGGGGTCGAACCCGGATTCCCTGCATTGGGAGCGCAGAGTCTTAGCCACCAGACCACCAGGGAAGTCCCCTAAATGTAAAAGTAAATAGTTTTGGCTAACTTGAAGTAAAATACAGAGAATAAGGTTATCTTGAAAGAAAAAACAGTTATTAGTAGCACAGTTTTCCCCCTATAAAGTCTTTTACTTAAAGCATTTCTTCTTGTTGAAAAGGGGTTTTAACTCCATGATTGTTAGGTCCCAAATTGGCTGTGCATCAGAATTATCCAGAGAGCTTTATAATAAACAAAGACTGTCAGCCTCCACCCCAGGACAGTTATATCAGGAACTCTGGGGGGAGGATTCTAAGAATCACTGTTTCTTAAAAATCCCCGGTTGTTGTCATTTTTTGGAATCACTGAGAGAGTCATCATGGAAGTATTTGATTTGAATGATTTCAAATAATATTTAGGACTTTGGGGTTCATGTAACTGTGTGGAATCCACTTACACCCCTACCTCCCTGTCTTTTCTCCTTAAACTGTACAATATAAGAATAAATGAAGCACCCCAAATTTATCCCTTTAGCAAAAAGTGAGAATGAGAATATACACAAATAATAAGGGGTGAAAAACAAATAGCATCCAGAATAACTATGGAAAGTCACAGTGGCAGAGCCGGTGAAGAAAGACAAAGGATCCGGGGCTGGCAAAATCTGTCCCACCATTCCCCGCTTTCCCAGTTAACGAGTAGTTATTCCCAGAAGGAGCGAGGCACACCCTGAGGGGGATCTTTTGAGGGCGTATCTAAGTGCAAAGTGGGCAAGTAGTGCTGGACAAAGCAGAGAAAAAAGGTGTTTAGGGTATACAGGGAACAGGTTTTATTTTAGACTTTCTATAAAAGCCTTTTCTGAAAAAGAGGGGATTAACTTACAAAGCAGAAGCTGCATTCCTGGTGGCACTGGCTAATGGTGTAGGTAAGGAGAGAAACAGCAATGATAGGGGCCCTCCTCAAACAAGAAAGAATATGAGACTCAGAGGAAATCTGGCTACCAAAAGTCATCATTTATTAACTAAACTGTTCATCACTTACTAAGAAGAGGATGCCTTTCAGATTACAACTACCCTAACCATTTTCCTCTTCCTGTTAATAGTTGATCCAGAAAAATCTATCTGTTTTGAATTTAAGAAAAAAAAATCTACAATTATTTACATAATATTAGGAAAAAGAAAATCAGAGTTTGTCAGCAGAAGAAAACACACCAGGAAAATTCTACTACAAGATGGAGAAAAAAGGGCAGTACTTTCAACATTAATTTTGTAAGTTAATTATGCAGTATAGTCACAATGCAGAAATAAAGTAACTCAGAGAAGAGATGGCAAGACAGAAAGGTGATGTGAAATAAGAATTGACAGAACTAAGAAAAGAAACTAAAGGAAAAGGCAAAACCACTTCAGAAATGAGGACCAAATTGCAAGGAGTTGAAGAAAGAACTGGCACCGCAGAAAACACAGCAATACCATAAAAGGAAAAAAATCAAACTGGAGAAAAACTTGCAGTTTCTGGTCTGATGTGTAAGGAGTTTAGAAGTCACCACTTTGTCCTAAAAAGTTAAAAGCTGAACTAACTGAAAAATCAATAACTTTTCTAAGACCCGTCAGAGAAGTGGGGTTGCATGAAACGGCTGCACCAAAAACAACAATAGACAGGGAGATTCAGAAAATCACAATTTACTGGAGCAGAGACCTACAAGGAGAGATCTCCACAGGAGCCAAAACTATAATTGATTAATTGCTAGAAGCTCAGTGTGGGCAAATATGAGAGTTAAAAAAACTCTAGGAGGACCCAATCATAGGGAGGCACCCACACTTTTGTGAGGTTAACTTTGGAGTTATCCCAGGTCCTCAGTGTGAATATTGGAGAAAAATCCTCTCATGCCTCTGGTTGGGGGAGGGGAAAAGGAACCATTCTGAAATATGCTAGAGCATTCTGTTCTTAACAAGGCCAGCCTTCAGGAGAAACTGTTTTACCAGGACCTCGCCTCCTGGAGTTTTATCAGAAACTAACCTACCTGTAGGAAGGGTAGTAGCCAACTCCAGCTCCCTCTAGCCATTCTGTCCAACCTAAGGGGAAGAAGACACAGAAGCGCTGGTGGAGTTCATGGTCCAGGGGCACATGTTCATCAAAACACTGAGACCTGGTCATAGGACCATAGAACGCTTCCACTGCCCCACTCCTTACCACTCCATTACTAGAGGACTATTTGTTGCAGTTTCTTTTACCCAGTACATTATGTCCACCTTTCAATAAAAAAATTACAAGACATACTGAAAGGCAAAAACAAACCAGTTTGAGGAGACTAAACAAACATCAGAACCAGAATGAGATATGGCGGGAATGTTGGAATTATCAAACCAGGAATTTTTAAATACTGTGTTGATGTGCTAAGGATTTAATGAAAAAAGTAGACAACACGCAAGAACCCATGGATGATGTAAGCAGAGAGATGTAAATCCTAAGAAGGAATTGAACATAAATGCTAGAAATCAAATAAGCTATAACAAATGAAGAATTCCTTTGATGGGCTCATTTAGTAGATGAGACACAGCTAGGGAAAGAATCACTGAGCTTGAGGATATGGCAGTAGAAACTTCTAAAACTGAAAAAAAGCTGAAAAAAAAAAACCCCCAAACCAGTATCCAAGAACTAGGGAACAATGACAAAAGGTTCAACACTTGTGAAATGGTAATACCAGAAGGAAAAGAAACAGAAAGAATCAGAAACAATATTTGAAGCAATAATGACCAGGAATTTTTCCAAATTAGTATACACTAAACCACAGGTCCAGGAAGCTCAGAGAATACCAAAGAGGATAAATGCCAAAAACAAAGAACAAAAAAACAAAAAACCTGCATCTAGGCATATAGTATCCAAACTTCATAAAACCAAAGATAAAAAATCTTGTAAGAGATACATGCTCCCCAGTGTTCATTGCAGCACTATTTACAATAGCCAGGACATGGAAGCAACCTAAGTGTCCATTGACAGAGGAATGGATGAAGAGGATGTGGTACATATATATGATGGAATATTACTCAGCCATAAAAATGAATGAAATAATGCCTTTTGCAGCAACATGGATGGACCTAGAGACTGTCATACTCAGTGAAGTAATTCAGACAGAGAAAGACAAATATCTTATTGCTTATATGCGGAACCTAAAAAGAACGGGTACAAATGAACTTACTTAGAAAACAAATAGAATCATAGATGTAGAAAACAAATTTATGGTTACCAGAGGGGAAAGGGGGGAGGGAGGGATAAACTGAGAGATTGGGGTTGACATATACACACTACTATGTATAAAACAGATAACTAATAAGGATGTATTGTATAGCACAGGGAACTCTACTTAATACTCTGTAATGGCCTATATGGGAGAAGAATCTAAAAAAGAGTGGATATATGTATAACTGATTCACTTTGCTGTACAACTGAAACTAACACAACGTTGTGAATCACCTATATTATAATAAAAAAATTTTTTTAAATCTTGAAAGAACACACAAAAACTGCCCTATTATAGAAAAGCAAGGATCAGAATTACACCAGACTTCTGTTCAGCAACAATGTAAGCAAGATAAGAATGGAGTGAAATACTTAAAGTATTGAGAGTTTAAAAAAAAATTAAAAATCCTAGAATTTTGTACCCTGCAAAATTATCCTTAAAAGTGAAGGAGAAATAAAAGCTTTCTCAAACAAAAATCAAGGGAATTTGTTGCCATTAGACTTGATTTTCAAGAAATGGTAAGCCAAATCCTTCTGAGAAGGAAAATGGTATTGGTTATATATTTGGATCTATGTTAAAAAAGGGAAGAACTTCAGAGTATGAATAAGTGAAGGCGAAATAAAAACTTTTATTTTTCTTATTCTCAGATGATATAACGGATCAAAATGTGTGTTC